GAGAATTTGGGAACTTAAATATCTTGGCCTGAATAGAAGTATAAAAATAGGAACCTGGAGCAGTTAGATCCTGCTGATCTTCTCTGAAGGACGAGGAACTGAATCACTTGCACTCAGCCATGCAGGCAGGTTGTGTTGTACCCTTGCTTCTCTGCAGCCTCCCTCCTGGGGGCTCAGCCATGTTTTTGGTGACTAAACAGTGTTTTCTAACAGGGTTTGTGCCCTGAAGATGGCCAGGCACTGGAAAAATGTTGTCTCAAGCCCTCTGTCCTTGTGCTCTGCAGGCTCCTGCGCTGCAGTGAGGGTTCTGGGTGCTCTCTGCAGGCTGGCAGGAGCTGTGGGTTTGTGTTTGTGTTTCTTTACCTTCCTGTATTCCAAACGTGGGGGTTGTTTCTGGGTGTGCAAACACCAGTAAGACCCCTCAGCTCTTGGGGTTTGGGCTCGCCCATGTTTGCCTCCTGGATGACTCCACCCTGTGGGGGAATGGGGAGAAGGGGAAGAGGCTGAACATCCCCTGTGGGCCTTTGCTTGGCTCTTTGCTGTGTTCCTGCTCCTCGGGGGTTTGCATGGCCTGGGAGACCTTTGGAGTTGCTGTTCGTGACTGCTCCAGATGTGCTGCTGACACAGGCAAGTGTGCTTGGACCTTGGGTCCCCAGCTGGGCAGGGTGGTGGGTGCAGGAGGGGGGATTCACGGTGCTCTTGTGGGGTGCTGGGTTCCCTGAGCGTGTTCAAGGAGCACCCTGGAGATGTCCTGCATGGGCCAGCTGCAGCTGCTGCCATCCACTGGCACTGCCAGACTAAAGGGAAAAGGCCCAGACGTTGGTGGTTCTTGCTGTTCCTCTTGGGTGCTGTGGGGCCTGATGTCTCCCAGACACTGGGAACTGCTGGTGCCTGGCTGAGTGCAGACACGGGCCCCACGCTGCAGGCCCAGCTCTGTCCCACTGTGCTCTCATTCTGTAACCCCCATCTCCTGCCCCACCTGTCCTGTCCTCCCCTCACTACACAGACCCATGGACTTCAGATCCAGGGTGTTTAGCCCCTGTATCTCCAGGCAGCAGGTCCTGGTATGATGCTCTGGTGACCTTACCACAAACAGGTCATCTTTGGGCTGGTTTGTGAAGGGCTGAAATCGTGCAGGTGATGAGCCCTGGTAGAGTTGGAGCTGAAGATTCCACATTCTTCAAACCTGGCTGTTCTGTGCTTCTGTGGCTTTGTATTTTCCTTCCCCCCCTCTCCCTCCCTTTTGGGGTATTTCACAGCAGGCTCCTGCTCCTGAACTGACACTGCTGCTGGGGAGCAGTTGCTGTCAGCTTTCATCCATCCCTCTGCAGGTCTCATTTTCAGATGGAGATAGCTTCTAGCTGCTGCAATACTGCTGTTAGAAGAGCCTTCCCACCCCCAGGAGTGTTTCTAGAGCACTTCCTGAGGCACAGGCAGGGGTTTCTGGCCAGGCAGTGCTGGCAGATCATGATGCTGGGAAGTGTCTGTCCCCTGCTCGCAGGGCAAGGGGCAATGACAGGACAGCTGGCACCATCACACTGAGCGATTTTGCATATAGGAACAGGAAAACTTGGGTGTCCTTCATGCAATCTTATTAGCTAATTGTTTTTGGCAACCTCTTAACATCTTCCTGAGGTAGCAAACTGCCACGAGGGGGCAGGAGCTGATGCTGCGGTTTCTAGTTCTGGTAGAAAGGACTGCAAATATCAATTGTCCAAGTGATTTTCCGTTTTCTGGAGGATTTGATTCCCAGGCTGCTGTTCAGTCCACATTTTTGGCTGTCTCCCTCCTAGCTGGGGTGGCTTCCTTGGTGTCACCAGGGAAACTCTCCCATGAGGTGAGCACAGTCCTGCTGGACCCAAAGCTCCTCCAGACCAGGAGAGCAGGGAAGAGCTTCTGTCAAGTCCCCAACTACCTCACAGGCTTCATCCACCTCTAGGGGATCTCATTCTGCTTTTATAGCCTTGAAGACTCCTCCTGTGTCAGGACACATGTTCTGTATAAAGATTTTATTTTCCTGCCCATCTTGAATTAGGAGGTAAATGGCCAATGTCTGGGAGAAACTCAAGCACAAGAAGACAGGAGCTGCAGTGCCAGCTGACGAGTCTTGTGCTGAGAGGGGTTGGGAACTTCAGGTTAGAATAACAGGGAGAATGATTAACTAGAAAACGAGCAGGGTGGTTACAGCTGCTTGGAGAGTGGGCAAAAGGAAATGACTTTGAGCCTCCACTGCAGCCAGGCTGGGTTTTTCTGGGTTTTAGCTGATCTTAAAGCATGAGTTCTTTTAACCTTTAACACCAACTGCAACGAACACTGATGGGTCATAAGTCTCACCTCACGAATGTAACTCACTCTCGCAGCACAGGGTCGTGTCTGTCTTTACTCCTCTGTCGTGAGAGACGAGATTTTCTCTGGGGTGAAACATCTGCAGAGGCTCTGCCACACCTGAGTACCACAGCCTCAAACCACAGACAGTTTTCCAGAAAATCATCAGGGCAGCAGCAAGCCTATGTCTGGGAGAGGAGCATGTTTATGAGAGATACCAACAGTTGCCTCTGGGAACAAAGGAATGACACTGAACTCGGGAAACATGTCCTGAAAGCACCACCCCACACCTGCCTCTGTGCAAGGGGCAAACTGTGTCAGAGCCAAGGGCTCCCAGGGAAGCACGTGAAGGCCTTGAAGAAGGTTCTTAACAAACGTGCTCTGGACATAGAGGAGTCAAAAAAACCCAAGCAAGTTCAGAGACAGTAGGAAAAAAACCCTGATAAGGCAGGTAGCAGTGTGGGATCTGCTTACAGTCATGTGTCTTACATAGTTGCATGGAGGTTGTGTTGTTATTTTTGGTAAACTTTGGTTTTGACTCTTTGAACCTTTCTTCTGTGGGTCCAAGCAGTGACTGGTGAAGCTGTGAAAATCCACATGAGGGGTTTGATCCATCTCAGTGTGGTGAGTGTCCAGCTACTCACCTGAAACAGAAGCAGTTCAGCTGTAGCACCAAGCTGCAAAGCTGAGTGGGAATAAATTCACTGCACCCTGTGGGCACCACGTTTGGGCTTTATCTGGGTTTTAGCAGGTTCCTTATGACTAGACTCCCTGTTGTGCAGTTTTGCTCTAATTGGAATGGGGGCAGGTAACTGTGCTCAAGGGAAAAAAGTTATTTAAGCACTGGTAAATTTAATGTTTGCCTTTCAAGTATTTCAAACACCGATACTTATCCTGCTACTGTAGCAAACTGTTTCCCAAATACTTCTGAAAAGGAAACAAAATTCCTTGCACCTCCTCTGAGCCAACAGGAAATGTTTATTAATTTGGATTCCAACATGACTCAGTTCAGAGATTGCAACAGTTGCCAAAACAACTGGTGGAGAAGGTTACTGGAAGTAGAAAACCAACAACAATAAGATAGGAAAAAAGTAGGGAGATGAAAACTCATCTGTAACCACGTTTGGAAAAGTATTTATAAATAGTTTAAAAGATGCTAATGCTCACAGCAAAATTGCAGCCAGCACATTATGTTTTCAGGAATTATATTTATTCAATCACATTGCTCAGCATGAAATAATAACTGTCTCTAAGTAGATGCTTTATTTGATGTGTGTCCTGGAGGCTCTGCAGTTCAACACTGTCATTACTTGTATTTCTACAGATTCAAGGTCTTGGTACTTCACTTACAGGGTGCCAGGTCATTCTCACAGTTATCTCACAGTTATCTCTTGGCATTTGCAGTCAAACACAGGAGATAACATGCCCAAATTTAATATGAGAATGACTAAAAATTAGTCATTTAATTGTAGCATATATTTCTCTTTTGTACCTGGAAGAACAGCAGATCCTGGATGAGTTTGGACTTAAAAACATCAGTTCTGGCACAAACAACACAACAAGAAACCTTTGCAGCAGAAAGACAAACAAATAAGACAATTTGGCTTATTCAGTCACACACTAGTAACAACCAACATTGTTTGAGTCCTTCTCTGAGGTCACGGGATGGGAAAGGAAACCTGTGAGGAGACTTGAACGTCATGAGGTTCTTTTTCACAGCCTTCCTTTTGCTAAGAAAACCAGCAAAGAAAAATCCTGGTGTGTTACCTGTGTGATGTCCTGGCTGGAGGAACCTCCTGAAGGGAGGAGAAGGTCCCTCCTGCTCCTCCCCACCCTCCGTGCAGCACAGTGCCTCTGGAACCTGATCCATGGCTGCACACCAAGCTGCCTGCCTAAGACCCCACTTCCTTTGCAGAGTCTCCTCTAAAGTTAGTCAATATCTGCATTTAAGATGCAATTTGTTGTTTCAGAAGTTTAAATCATGCAGCACGCCTGTGTTTAAACACCATAGTGAATATTTTGCTCTCCTTTTTGTTTCCTGAAGCTTGATGGAGAAGTAAAATCTGGAAATGGAGGAACCATCATCCTGTTCTAAACACAAAAGCCCAAGTTGTTTCACTGAAAAGCTGTGGAAAGGGGTGTTCCTACCTGTGCTGTTCTGCACAGACTCCAAAGGACTAGGTGGGATTATGAAGAAAACTGCTGCTTTTGTAAAGAGAAGTGAGTATTCATTTCACTCCTTTTTCCTTTTCTTTTTTGGAGGGTGCAAGTTTTAATTTTCCATTTCTACCACACACACAATAAGTAAAAAGAACTGGGTTTGCAATGATATTTTAAACCCAGGAAAACTGCCACAGTTATAAACTTTCCTATTTTTTTTTAGTATATAAAAATGTACAAAAAGCTGTTATAAAAAATATGTTGCAGGTCTTGACATAGTCTGATGTTACTCATAAAAATGCTAAGTATTATCTGATGACAATAATTTACATAATACTTTGACTTACATGCTTAGTGAAACAATTATACTTAAGTATTTGTTCCAAAGCCTCGTGGGCTTGTGTTTCTCTGGGACTAATGGGCTCAAGTGAAGTTATTTCAGTTTAGTCACTTGTTTCCCTTTGCCCCAAAGTGCTTCACTTCTCTGTGAGCCTTTGAAGATCCTATGCTGGACTTCAGTACCTATGAAGCCCTTCTGAAACAGGCACCAGAGGAGGGTTCTGCGTGTCACTTGGACTGACATCATAGCCCAACTTCTTCATATCTTTGGTCACCACGTTGAAGGAGATGGTCACAAAGCCTTGAGATCGTACCCGTGTGACTGGAAGGAAGGTGGTGAGAATGGAACTGGTTAAGGGAGGTTTCTGAATAGCTGTTGGACTCCTAGCCAGGTAGGACTGTTCTTGGGAGGAACAACTGGACTTTCTTCCAGCAGAAGGTGGATGGCCAAGCTGTGGCCTGCTGTCATGCAAGGGTTGCAGCCAGGAGCTCCTGGGCACTTACCTTCTCTTCCTTCTCCCTGTGCTACCACTCTGGGGTCAGTAAATTCTGGGCGTCTCCCTGTGAACCAACTTGGAGAATATAAAATAATTAATTAGATACATTTGTTACTGTTTAGATTTGATACAGTTTATAAGCATGTTAAAAAACCAGAGGGGGTTAATGAGACTCCCAGCTTTTGTTTGCAGTAGAGGGTTTTGAAGACAGATTGACTTTATTGCTGATCAACTTTCATCAAAGATTAGTTTTGTCCTTCTGAAGAAAAAAAGGAAACTAATTTTATACACATGATATGTACTTAATACAAGGAAAAAACCTGGATACCCTCAGTTGCTGTGTTCAGCCTCTTACTGCAGCTGTGAGGATGAAAACCAGGTGAGTTAGTGTTACTACAAAGTTACTGTGGTTTAAGAAAGCTCTTCAAAAGACCTAACAACCTAAAATTGTTATTTTACCTACACAACTCAAAACTATCTGGTTATGACACAGCATTCACATGTATACACCAGTGGTAGCTGGGATACACCTTTGTAACTAAGAGCAAGAAGGACTTTATTTGGAGAAAAGTCTTTAATTATTACCTTGTGAACTTCTGCAGCCTGGATGTGGACTCTGGAACAAACATAGGGATGGTTCTTGTATGCCTAAAGCAAACATGAGTTGCACAGAAATGAACCAAAGGGCAGTGGCAGGACTTCTAATGCTCATGAAGGTACCAGAATTTCAGACATGTCAGACCACCAAACATCTCAAGGCAAAAATACTTTCCCTTCTACAAAGAAAGGGTTTGTTTGCATAGGGAGAGGTTATAGTCCTGCATTCCCAATGTGGGAATGAAAGCTGAGAGTGAGGGGGGAGAGGTGATGTTCTGTGCTCCATACTTGGGCTCTCCTTGTGCCAGTTTTAACTTCACACTTCTCTACAGGATTACTGAGAAGTAGTTGGTCCCTGCTGGGAAATCCATGGGCTTTGTACCCAAGGGCCAGGACCCGTTAGAGAGATATGGGACATTGTTTCTGAAACAACATAGTAACTGGGAAAAAAACCCACTCTGTTTCAGTCCTGAAAGCTGCCAGGTTGTCACCTCACCTGCCGGGCGAGAAGGGAACGTGAACGGCTCCGTAACCTCTGACCACATCGTTGCCAAAGAAGTCGGGTCCGTAGACACTCACCACGATCTGAGGCCCTGCAAGAGACCCGCGTGTGAGGGGCTGCCCGGGCTGCTGCTGGATCCCCCTCCCCCCCCAGCACTCACAGCCCGACGGGTTGGTGCTCTTGAAGGTGATGTCGATGGGGAAGTTCCAGATGAGGGTGCTGGGCGAGACGTGGCTCTTGGAGGTGATCTGGGAGATGCCTTCCTCCAGGCCCTGCGGGGAGGCCGAGGCGTGAGGCCCGGAGGGGGCAGCGGGGCCGGGCCGGGCTG